ATGATCAATGTTGTGCTGATAGAGGTTTTTATACATGGGCTTGCTTTCGAGTTGTATATGATTATTTTTGGAGTAGTTGTAGGAGTACCTATGAATGCTGATAAAGTCAGACTTTAGAATAACTGTTACTGAATATTTTAAGAGTAGCTAGCTAGTCTAGATATTGATCTAGTGTTTGCATAGATGTGTGGAGTATGGTGGAATTTAGGTGTGTACATATTGTCATTCTTTTGTGGTAACTTTTTTAGTAGATGTTAACATTTTGCCTGGTTTTTTAAATTTTATTTTGTCATTTTTATATTTTTTTAAAAAAGTTATAATAAACAAAAAAGTGATGTAATGTGAAATTTACAGGAGAGAAAAGAAGTGATGTGAATGATGTGCAATTGGTTCATACAAGTTTGTTATGTTACAGAGTATCCAGTACATGATAGATTGCTCTAGCTCGTAGGTCTGCTAGTTTTATGATGAGGATTTTTGTTTCTGCTGATTTAGCCACTGATGCACAAGTTCTTCCCAGCATGTCAGTGTCGTTAGGATCAGCTCCTAGTCTCATTAATGAATCAACTACTGCTTTGTTATCTGTTCTTGCTGCAAAGTGTAACGGCGTCGCTTGATTGAAGTCTTTACTGTTCACGTTGCAGCCTCCTTTGACTAGCTCAACCAGACACTCGTCGACTCTTTCCTCCTCGGACATCCCAGGATGAGAGTTGATGACGACCCAATGTATCGGTGCAAATCCACCCTTTGTATCATAGGCATCCACATCAGCTCCATGCTGTATCAGTAGACGGATGAGATTGGGTCTAGCATGCATAGCAGCATAATGTAGAGCTGTAAGATGATTGCTGTCTGTTGTATTAACATCAACCAGTCTGTTCTCTAGTAGTCTAGCCACCATCTCTTCATCTCCTTTAACGACTGCTCCAAACAGTTCTTCTCGTCTGGACTCGGTCTCCATGCTTGGGGGCTCTGGCTGACGGGGTGACCTAGCGAGGCTGCCTTTGCGGGTCATTGCCTTCAAGGACTTTCTGCTTTCCTTCCATCTTCTCAGAGACATGTTGACGCTTTCTTGGAGGTTATGGCACAGATCAGCTTCAAGTAAATAGAGCTTGTTTCTCTTTATTTGAACAAGTCTTGTTCAATGTTCAGGTTATAGCTTCGATTGTTCTGAATGTCACTGCTTCTGTGGCTCTTTTTATAGGCTTTCATTGTCTGCGTGGGATTGGCCTAAACCACTGCAGCTTAATTAAACTCATTCATTTATAAAAATTATATTTCTCATTGCATGTTCTTTACATTTTGAAGTGTAAATCAACTTTTAGTCTCGCCTTCATTAGTATACAAATTCATGTATCATGCATGCATTT